CTTTGTTTGGAGGGAGGGGGGGGTGGTAGTTGTGACAATGATAGCAGTAGCGTGGTGGTCTGTGGGGGTGGGGCGAGATGGGGTGGAATTTCAATTATTTTGAAAGATTTCATTCCAATTCCTACCAACCAAACGCTTAGTCAAATTCCATTCAAATTCCTTCAAAGTCAAATTCCTTCGATGGATTCCAATTCCACCAAATTCCATTCTGCTAACCAAACTCCTCCCAAGATTATTGAGGGATTAGATTACTACACACCATCTCCAAGTACCTTTTCCAATGAGAAAAATTCGGGGATTACTACAATTCCAGACCCAATATCGAAGAACTTATGAAGAAATTTGAAATGAGAACAAAGTAATTAGCTTGTGAAATGAAAACTTCACCCAAGTATCAATTATAATCCCATTTTTTGAAAGGATATTTATCAACGGTTTCTCCCAGTAGAAGATTGTAACATATGTATATTGATGTGACAAAAAAAAGAATCTACAACATCAACAAGATGTTAAACACCCTGTAAGAATTGTAGTGAAAAATAATCAAAGCCCAAGACCAAGGAAGGAAGCAAAAAGAATTGGTGGGCAAGATAGATCAAGTCCACAATATACAGAATTGTAGATGGTATTATATTTGTAGGATTATCCGTAATGATCCCTTGGTCCATTACTAAAGTTCGATCATTCTATTTAGGCCAACCTCGGTTAGTGGTCGACCTTGTATAGGATAGACCCAGTTTCCTCACTCTTTTATCCTAGTCCTCATAACTAACTTAAAACTCAAAGCATAATGCAAAGCTCTTAATTAAACAAGACAAAGCAATAGTAAACTAGTTACTATAATTTGAAAAGGTGTCCTAGCAATGCACCAATTTTCCGAAGTCATATGAAAAGGGTGGTCTGGGGCATAAGCTATTTTCTTGCTCAACATGTTAGCACGAGGAATGGAGATAATCTCCCCCATTCTAGAAAAGGGTACCCGCCCTGCAATCATATTGAAATGTGGAAGTTGTAATAAAAATATTGAAATGATGACACAGATGAAATGGACCATTGAAACTCATGGAAAAGAATGAAATACAAGGAAATACTAAAATCCATTCAACCCCCTCAAAAAAAAAAAAAAAAAGACGTACACATGAGTTATTTTTCAACTTCAAAAGGTATAGGCATTCATGGGTGGAGCCACCTTGAAGCCAGAAGTGCCATTGGCTCCCTCAAACTTCAAAAATAAAATTTGATATAGTCCCAAACCTCAATTACCCACTTGAAACTTTATTTATTCATATCAAATTCTTCTTTTTCTTCCTTTATAAATGTCAAGTTTTTTAAAGGTTTTAAAATAAACATGTTATTTTATTGAATAGAGAATTTTTTTACAACAAATTTCATACATTCTCAAAGGGGACTTCTCATATTTATATGCTTATCTACACACATTTTTAATTGTTTGTGTAAAATATAGACATATTTATGCCGTTTAGGTCACTCATGTTTTCAATTCTTTTTTACAACTATGTTTAGGACATGTATTTGATTAAAAAACATATATACTTAAAAGGGTTTTCTTCACCTTGAAATCGTGAATTTTCTTACATTTTTTCTAGCACCCCCTAAATAAAATTTCTGTCTCCGCCCCTAAAGCATTGAGTTGGTTGTACATTAAGCAGTGAGTATCACATTATAGCATAACAATCTAATTAACAATGAAACCTTTTTGAACAAGCTAAGCATCCGTTACATACAACTTTGAAAGACAAAATTTTGAATTTATATGGGACACAGAGACATATTCCACAAAGTAGAATCCCAATCACAAACAGTATAAAACATTTACCAGTAATCAAAAAAAATTAACTCAGTATTGGGAAGTAACGTAAATGAAAGAAAACCGGATGGATGTCAACTGAAACTCACTCTCTAACAAAATAATATTTCCCGCAGTTAACATCGATCCCATGTGCTTTTGCCATATGGAAACAGGGAAATACGGACGTGTATCGTCACCAACCTGAATGTCTGTCCTGATTACTTTTCCGCCTCCTGAAGTTTTATACTGTGCAATCATCAGACTTGATCAACCCCATGTATCGAAACACTTGCAGATTACTGATCAACATACAAACAAAACTTTAGGGTTCGGAAAACAATTGAGAACCTGAATAGGAATGGTCTTGTGAACAAGAACAAGAAGTTGAACGAAATGCCCACGGTGAGAGGAGGCTTCAGAGAGATCGATTAGAGGTCCATACCATCCGATTGTTGCCATTTTCACTTTCTATTCATCACCGTGTGGGTTTTAGCAGACGTCGAGTTGCCGCCGTTAAGTTGTTAAAAAAACTACTTTTACGATTGTTTTATTGTTTGGTGTTGAATGATTAAATGATTCTTATGGTATAATGTAAAATGAAATATAATTATTTGGTAATTATATACAATAAAATTAGGGCTTTTAATGGTTAAAGAAGATCTATGATACAAAATTATTCAGAGAGTTTTAGAATTATTAAAAGATAGACTTTTTTTGCCAAACAAGATATTCAGAAGTTTTCTCTTAATAGAACTATAAAGGTAAACAAACAAGAGTTATTTCTGTGCGATATCGTTAATCGAGAGTTTTTAGTGTATGGATGGAAAAAAAATAGAATACTCATATCAGTTTGTCACCGGTAATAAGAAGTTTCTGATAAATTATTTACTTCTAACTTGTCAACTTATTCCAATGTGGTACCGATAATAAGTAGTTTTTGGTGTTTGGATGGAAAAAAAATACTTATCAGATTATTACGTGTTGGTATCGAAACTTATATTTGCTCAATGGATAAAATCTGCTCATGAAAAAAATTCATATGGGTTTGATATACATTTATCTTCAATGAATAGTTCGGCATAAAATATGGGTCGTAATAAGCTAATTCAAACATTTTTTTAAATAACTCCGATTTAATACCATATAAGTTGATAAACACTTGTACAAAAAAACACAAGTTACTTTAGATAAGCAATCTCAAACACCTGTACCATTTATTAATGCATATTACTTAGAATTCAATATTACAAATTAATTAAATATAAGTGCAACTTGTTAAAACTTCATTTTTAAATTCATATAACTACTGATAAACATAAATACTAAATAATTAAATACTTATTTTTATTTTATACAATATCTAAAATTTAAATTTTTTCATATAACTAATCAATAAACATTAAATAAAATCAAGATACAACACCTCATTTTTATTTTTTTTATTAAAATATATTATCTATTTAATTTTAAATATAAATTATCTTAAATATAGTTATCATTTAAATTACACGATCTTTGACTCCTAACAATGTAATTTATCATATTTTTATAAAAAAATCATAATTAAACTCAAATAAAATATATTTTCTATTTTAAATTTTAATTATAATAAAACTTAAATTAAATAAATAAAATCATAAAATTAGAATTTATAATCTTTAGTTTCAAACTCATATAGATATACTAGAAGCGTATTCGCGCAATGCAGCAAGATATATCGTAATTTTAATATTTCATTTGATTCTTTATCTCATTTGATGTTATAATATG